GATCGGCCATTGCGGGTTGTGCTACGGCCGCCACGGCACGGCATATGGCAACACTCGGCCGGTATCTGCCCCCCCCCCCCTAGTTGGCCCCCTAACTACACAGCCTGGTCCGGTTTCCGCGGCTGAAAACACCAGCGTGTGAGGTCTTTGCGCTATGGAGCAATATGGCCTTTTTCGCCAGCTAGCCCTGATTCCTTCGGGCGCGCGACAAGCCAGAAAAACGTACTGTGTACAGTTCATTTTTCAGAACATTCAGAAACAATCATGATCGTGTTTTCCTGATAATGGAGCAGGAAATGAAAACGCTCAGTCTTTTACTTATTGGTGTTACTACCGTAACTACTCAGGACCATCAAACGTAGAGTGTTCTGGTGCATGTGTGAAAAACCTAAATCAGCTGGGTCACCGTTCGGTTTCACGTAGCTAGAAATAACTAACTTGTCGCATGCTCATCCACGCCTGCGATGGATTTAAGATAGCCACTGCGAATTTCGGGAATAACTTCTGAACCGCGCGAAACAAACTCACCTTATTGTCCGCATCTGACAGATGATGAATTTGACAAAATCTCGATAAATTATTGTTTTCCATTTAAGGTCAGTCCATTGAGTTACCACGTCAGCAATGAAGGTCAGCACGATCAATTTTCCTCCGCGTCCGGATACATGGTGTTCACTTTCTCGGTTCGAACCATTTTGAAGCAATTTATCACCTGGCGTGACTGACTGCCAGCCAAGGTCAATCAAAGTATACGAGGTCACAACAAGCCATGGGTCACGAGGATAAAATGATATGTATCGAGCCCAAACGATGTACAGTTGAAAAGTAACGCCATCAATTTTAGTACTCACACAACGCAGCACCGTGCCTTGGTTATCCTCCGCTGGCCGGCGACACACTCGCTGATCTCATATACATCCTTTCGTCGTCATCCACTTTCATCGAATTTATTTCCACACCATGGATGCACATTTTAATGTGCACACCTTTCACGCCACACCATATTCGACCGCAATACACAGCAACCGGCGCCGGCCCTCTCCCATGGGGCGGAGGGGGAGGGGGGAGGGGCACCGGGGTGCACTGAGGTGAGGGCGGGAGGGGGGGGGGGGGGGGGGGCGGGAGGCACCGAGGCGCGCTGGGTGGCGGAGGCTGCGCCCAGCGCGTCGCAGTCAGCGCATCTCCTTCCATGGATCGGAAGTCAGATCCGCCCGACGCAAACCATAACGTATCAACCCACACCTATTCAAAACATCCAAACGTGCATGCACCCCCTAAACCCACGATTCGCACGCCTCATTATCCAAGCAACTAAGTACAGGAGTTACAGCCAGGCTACGCTGCAAACGAACATCTGCGAGCTGGAGCCGGGCATCAGTGCTAGGAAGGAGAGGATGGTGCCCCCACCCCCTGCCGGAGGGGGCCGGCGCCCATCACTGCACACTGCGGGCCCGCATGATGTGATACACGCGTGTTGATGCCAGGAATGAAATCATTCCAGGTTGGTTTGGCTAACGCAGTTGTTTTCAATTTCTTCCCTTCTGTTCCACCTTGCTGTTCACATACAGATAATATAGAACTAATAGCCTTATTCCTCGTTGAAGAACTAGGGGAGTGGAGAGATAGATGTATTGATTTTCCGGCTACATCTCTTCGTTTCGATAAAGGCGTGTGGCCGAAATATCAGTACATTTATTTTTCCATTCTCCTGGTTATTGTACGAGGAATAAAGTCATTAGTGGTGTCTCATCTATGTACATAAAATTCATCACAAATGTTTTTTTACAACCTATGCCTGTCACACCAGCAAGACCTGGTGGCCACGCTGCTGCTGGTGTGCATGCTGCCACACGCGTGGAGGGGGGGGGGGGGGGGGAGGAGGGACTCCTGTGCCACACAAAATGCTGCCCCGGCCGTGCGGTAGTGAGAACGCCAGTCTGGGCGTTCTGTGGATGGCAGAAGCAGCCCTTTGGATGACCACCACCGCGCGGGCTAGATTCGCACTGCAACTTCGCATTCCCTGGGCAGGGAGGGAAAACTTCACCAAAGGACGTTCGTGTTACTCCACGATGATAGTCGTGTCGTTCTAAGCTGCCTTGTATGGCCTATTAAAATCCCCATTGCTATTTGGCTAGCGGAGTGGAGCAACATTATGCACCACTCCGGACACCACGGGGGATGTGGGTCGCCATGCACGCAGCAAACTCTTCTGGTGGGACCCTGATTCTATCCCCATTCGAACAAGTAATTCATGCGACTATAGTCTTAAATGCCTTCAAAGGCGTGCCAAGGGTGCGTGGGTCAACAGAGCTGACCGTCTGTTCACCTAGCGTGGAGTCTGCTCAGACGAAGACCAGGGCTGCTTGGAATATGTTGCTCTTCGTCTCCACATAGGCAAATGCGCTACAGCTCGGTTTAGTAAGTTGAGTGAGGAAACCATCCGGCAAGCAAGGCAAAAAAAGCAAAGCAATGCTATCGACAGAGCTATTAAAAATTATATCTACCACAGAGGAAATATAAGATACAAAGGCGTGCCGCGCAACGTGTGATGATGTCTCTTCCAACATCAGTGCCTTGCACCATGCCTGGAGTAGCAATTAATCCGGGAACGGAGCTTTCTTTTGCGGCGATTGGGCGGTAGCTGAAGGGATGTCATGATCATCCGACGATGCTTTAGCTCTCCAGTGCGTATACACCTCATGCTACTGTTTCTGGAGCCAAGGCTAATAGAAAGATCCCTTTCATTTAAAGTTATGCCCACAAAACAGGCATAAATCACAAAATCCATTTAAGTTCCAGCAGCAAACTTCACAAGCTGAAGCACATCGTCAACAGAACGCTGTCACACATGTTTTGGTCTAGGCTTGTTTGCAATGGTGTGCGAACGGCGTTAACAAGAAGAGTGGGTTGTGCGAAGACGCATATTGCCATCACCGCATGTGCAACAAACAAAACAGCACTTGTATACAGTCAATCCCACCAAAGGCCTCTGCCTTGTTTAAACAGGCATTCCGTACAAACGCTCTTGTCCGTGCAAAGTAGCATCAAAAGCGCAGGCTCTCATATACCGAGCAGGCAAACGGGAAGGTTTGCTATCGGATTCGGGACAGACTTAAAGTCTCTTAACTGGGTAAGCGTTTCTCGTATGTCACAGCGTCTTTTGAAGCTTACGGGATTCCTGATCTTCTGAGACTTTGAGTACATTGTTTTGTTCTCAGATCTTCGGGATCCAGGAACGCCTTCGCAACTTTGTCGAATCAGTTATGAGTACTCAAGGTGGACCTTCATTTTGTTCAGCCAGTCTTCTATATCCCACATTCATTTCAAAACTTACAGAAAGGCCTTCTTGGATCCGCAACCCATGTTCGAAAAGTACAAACATAACTGCCAAAATACCCTTATTAACGCACGGTTAACAAAAAAATATTACGAAAGAAAATCAAGTAACGCACAAGCAGCAATGGATGCTGATTGACACTCATGACCCGAAGTTCCACACTTCACATTAATCGAAGAGACAAGTAATCTGTAGAGCACAGTTCATAAACACACTCTGGAGAAACTTAAGTGCCAGTTATGTCTGGAAACATCCAAAATAGTACTGGGGAGTGCCAGTGGAGCACTATCAAGATAACATAAGCTGATGAATTTGCATTACTTTCGAATAAAAATTACGCGAACAGGGTTTCGGCACAGCACTTCGGCAGATCTCCGAACTCTGACATTTAGCTGAATTCGCGTGATAATCGTCTTCTATTTGTGAATGTTTAGGCAAGAGAAGTAGAGCAAATTTCCAACGTGCCATACCAGGTACTGCACAAGCGTTTTGTCTAACTGGGGTATTGCGAGCATGCCGTCACACGCCTTTTGGGAAAGCAAAGCAAATGAAAAGCATTACTTTCATATCGATGAGCGGGCAGCTCAAGGGCTTTTCTTCCGTCCGAACAACTCCTTCAACCATGAATTCTGGGGCGTTCAGGAGTTCGATAAAACTGGTATCGTCGACCACCTTGGACGCGTCTGATTGACGATGAGTGAAAAGTACTCGCGTGCTCCCTTCAATATAAATCACGGAGGCTGCACATTCAGACCCTTCTTGCCAGGGTGAGACACGTGAGACTTGCCAGACATGAGACATGATAGCCTGAACCTCTGAGTGCATCGTTAAGTTACAGAGACGACACCTTTATATTCATAAGTCTCTACGCTTGAAAAATAAAACGACACATTGGCGACAAGTTCCGGTGAGGAAAGTCCGAACGGCGTATGATCGATATCCCATGTGACACGTGTAGGCTGTGGAGAGAGGCGTTTTAAGCTGGTCACACGATGGGAGGCCCTTTATTCAGAGGATAAGCAGGACGTCCTACAGATAACAAATGTCACGAAATGTTAATGTCTGTTTCCAACGTACACCGACGTGCTTCCCGTTATCATTACTTTGGCCGTAGTGTAACACATCAGTCGCGCCTGGCTGATTAGGCGCCATAGCGATAGCCGTGCCAGCGCCTACCGCCACAGCAGTAGAAAACATAAGCGTCAGCGTCACCTAGCGGCGCGCGCCAGGTGCAGGACAGGCCGCGAGGTCGCCGGGTACCACAGCCCTGACGTGGCGCTTGGGTGACGCGCCGACGTCCGATCCGCGGTCGTAAAGACCGGCAGCTGTCACGACATCTCCCTCGAAGTGCGGGCTGTCACGACATGCCCCCCCCCCTCCCCATCCTCATCCCCATCGGAGCGGGATGCCACGACGTGCCCACTCTGACCACCACAGATCGAGAGAGGGATGCCTGGCAGAGAATGCGTCTCATGTGAGGAGGCAGAAACTGGGAAACGTTCAGTTACATCTTGGCATCCGTTGACATTATCTCGAGCAGCGATCCCAGGTGCAGTGAGTTATCAACGTCAGCGGTTCTCAAAAAGATCAGTGCGGGCTTGTGGCAGGATTCATAAAACACACCCTGTACACGCGGCGCACACCAAAGGCACATTGTACTCACCCACATAATACGGATGAGGAAGATGAAGTTGAAGCTCAGGACCAGGATCGTCGGCACCATAAATAGCCAGTCCCAGTAACTAACAGCCAGCCAGAGGCACCGAGAAAGCATCGGCTCTTGACCTCCGCTGTCTTCATAACCCAGCTGAAATCAAATACAAGTCAAGCTGGACGGCAGGCCCGAGCCACGTACTTAACAAACTCACTGAGAAGAATACAAGCCTGCTGAAGTCAAACCAGGGACACGGATCTTTGTTTTTATGTTCTCGGAGAGCCCGTTGGATGATGGTGTGCGGTATTCTTGGACGTATTTTTTTATAGATCCTTGTTTGTGCGCTGCATGGGCTGATAGCACCTCTGTACAAGACGAATAGGATCAGCAGCCTTGTCACCCACAGGCACCCCCCCAGTGCGGTCAGGCACTGAACGTAACAACCATCAAGAATGCGATGTCACCATTACGTGCAAATGTACTGGCCATACACAGATAGCTTATGCAATATTGTCGTCGCTCAAACAGCAAGGGCATGCATTAAAGTCACCTGAAGCATAAATTGTGAATTAGGCTTGCACCCCATGGCCTCCGATCACGCATGTTGGTGTATTTGTGGGAGTTGTGCACGTCGCATTTTGCTGGCTCTATGCATTACTGCAAGTCTCAACTGAGCTCAGCAGCAGTCTCGAGGCGTCGAAGGGCCCGAATAGTCTTCTGAGGATTAACCAGGTAGCACAAATGTGAAGCTTTACCTGCCACGCTGCGCATGAACCATCAGAGCATTGCGCAAATACCAACTGAACGCGATACTCGGCAGAGTATTGCTCTACCCCTACAATCCGTAACATAAGCGAAGCCATACATCCTCGATGCTCACAGCGTTTCACTGGCACCACTCCGCGGTGAAATCACGCGGTATCCCATGGAAGTCGACTGACTCACGAACCCCAAAACACCCGCGACGTCCCAAACACCCATGACGCCAACACCCATGACGTCAACATCCATGACGTCCCAAATATCCATGACGTCAACACCCATGACGTCCCGAACGTCCTTGGCGTCGACACCGATGACGTTCCGGAGGCTGGCCGTCTGTCGTGCGGTGGCATAGAGGCGGCAGGCCATTGTCTTCAGATGCGCGATGTGTCAAAAGAGAGAGAGAGAAAGAGGGATAGAGGAGAGAGGAGGAGAAGAGAGAGAGAGGTAGAGAGAGAGAGAGAGAGGTATGAGAGAGAGAGAGAGAGAGATGAGAGAGAGAGAGAGAGAGAGAGAGAGAGAGAGAGAGAGAGAAGAGAGCAGAGAGAGAGAGAGAGAGGGAGGATAGAGAAGAGAGCTCTCTCGCGCTCCTTCTCATCTCGAGCTCTTCGCTCTCTTCTCATCTCTCTCGCTCTCTTCTCTCGAGCTCCTCATTCTCTCGATCTCCTCTCCTCTCGGAGAGCTCTCTCTTCTCTCTCCTCTCTCCTTCTCTCTCTCTTCCTCCTCTCTCTCGCTGCCGCTCTCTCTCTCTCGCTCTCTCTCTCTCTCCTCTTCTCTCTCTCTCCTCTCTTCTCTCTCTCTCTCTTTCTCTCTCTCTCCCTCTCTCTCTCTCTCGCTATCTCTCTCTCCTAAGAGAGAGAGAGAACCCATTCTACGCGCAGCAGCTGGTGGATGGCGTTCGTGTACCGCACCCCATAATGGTATTATATACTGTTTGGACGAGTTCCGCCACGTGCTGATTACTTCCTAAACTGATCACAGTCACTTTTTCCCAAATAGTTGTTAAGCAGATTGTGATAGCCCCATGAGTCTTTCGTTATTTTGTACCGGACAAATTACGGACATCTGAACTGTTTTGGTCATGCAAGGAAACAAACCTAGTTGGCCTTTCACAAGGGAATAGGACATCAAAATGTCTTATGTTACTTATGTATTCAGTGATGGATTCTAGCGTGGCTGTTTCTGGTTGCTTCTGACTGATGGTAAGTATACTGGACAGAGACCACTGCAAATATCGTTTATCCAACTTCAGACGTGGCAGTGTCCCATCTATAGATGTAAGTCGTGCTTCTATACCGGTACATCACCACAAGCTCTGGCCCGCCTGTCGATATGAAGGCTCTAGAAGCGTCACTATTGTCTTTATATCCCAATGCGCTCAACATTGTCACCCTCACACTCACTGTCGCCTGTGAATGTAATGTGATGTTGAAATACCATCGCAATTTAGTGTTACCATCACAAGCGTGATGGTAATAGCCAAAACAAGTGAGTACTTTTGTTTAACAAACCTTCCAAGCAATTTCAAAATTTTGGATGATAGTCAATGTGCAGGTAATCAATATTAAATACAAACGCGGGACCCATGATACCGCATGTCATTATCATTGCCCTAACATGCACAAACAGCTTATGTAAATCTGGTTCAAACCCACAAAAGTTATGAAATGGCGGCTAACTCCAGCCCTATTCTGATCTCAGACTGCGTGGTGTCAGACCACTGCCCTCACCGCCCCAGCTCCATGGCTAACTCCAGCCCTATTCTGGTCTCAGTCTGCATGGTGTCAGACCACTGCCCCCACCGCCCCAGCTCCATGGTGTCAGACCACTGCCCCCACCGCCCCAACTCCATGGCGTCAGACCACTGCCCCCACCGCCCCAGCTCCATGGAGCAGCGCTGTCGTTAGCTGGCGCAAAGACACTTAAGTGTGAGTGTTGAATAAAATGGAGCATTCATGTGTCAGTTTGATTTATATACGTGGAAGACCGCAATGTCCCCTCTGATTTACACCTGATTCTTTGTTTGCCCGTCGGTCGCTTCTACGCTAGTTTCTCCCCATTATTCGCTGGAATATGCATACTTTGGGGGGCGGCTGCCCACCGTATTATTACTATTTTTTCATTTTTAGAGCGGTTAGCACCAACGTTTTGTTACACTAATCCCTGCAGCGCCGTTTTGGGGCGTGACAGAGGCTGACGTCAAGCTGCCGCCGTAACCAAATCAGCGCTGCCCAGATGTTCTCATCGATCAGCCACCAAAACGAGTACACTCGGAGATCATACTTACATTTGGCCCAGACAACATTGCTTTCGTCCTTTGGACCACGCTTCGTTTAATGAACAAAGAACGTGCAATGGCGGCAAAATTTTCGCTGCTCTGCATTATTTGCTGATGCTGACTGCTAAATTTCTGGACCTTCGTCTCTTCACCTAGCCTTATAGAAACTCAATTGGCAAATTGCAGACCCCAATGCCTTTATGGTGTACTCAGGAGCACCCGTTACCGGCATCACTACGCGGCTGTATCCCAAATTGAGACAGGCTGTAGATCTTTCCAGCGAATAACCCACGGAATCTACAGGTCAGACAGATCAGAAGATAATCAAAGCGAGCCCATATCAAATCAGCAAGATTCCGTTTGAACTGACTGCATCAGGTTGACAAATATGCAGTTTCATTTCAGTTTATTCGATTTCATTTCAGGAGAAAATCCTTACCCCGTCCGATGCAATTGGTGTCTACAGGTAATCAATTGCTCCAATTTACCGCACGTCTTACAAAGCTGACATTGATCCAGCAGCTATCAAGGAATCACTTGGGCACAGATTTACATCTGCTCTTTCCGGATACCTGTGGTTTAAAAAGACAGATGCACCTTCGTTTGAGTATTCGGTGGAACATGGTCATGTAGTAGTGTTTTCGAGATGCAAGAACAGCCTGCTTTGCATCCTAACATCATTTCCGTTTCATTCACATGGAAACAACCTTAAGAATGCTCCTAACACGCACATATGCGATTCTCAGTTCATCTCCAAAGGACATCAGCGTGCAAGTCTTATTGAAACGAGCCGTTAGCACTTATATACTCTTGGAAAAAGTTGTACATGCTTAACTAAACATGACGGAGAGAAGTGTCCCGCTGCACTGGACAACAGCGCTTAATACACAACCGGGTCACTGGTTGGATACCCTTCGCTCGGGTGGGGGTCAATTTGACAACCCTGAGATCTCAGGAACTAAGAAAGCTAGAGACACCAAATTCACAGAGTGCATTGACCCATACATGAAACCACTTAGGTCCAAGTTTGAGGTTCCTAGGTCATGACCTTTGGGTCAAATAAGGTCAAACAAGGTTAAATTCCAGGTTGGTCTCCAAGATGCCCCTTACACCTAGATAACTGTTCTAAGCAAAAGGTCACATGCTCATCTAGGGTCAGTGACCTTGTTTGGCCTTTTGAGGGTCATGGTGATTAAAATCATACAAGACAGCTCTGAGTTTTGCATTTGCATAAGCGATAAAGATTACGCTAGCCAGTATGTTCCAAGAAACAAATTGTTGACCTGGGCCATTTTATGTCAGTGACTTATTATGACCTTTAAGAAACCCATAGGTGTATAATGCAGTTCCTGTTATCAATACATTCGGATTGAGCACTAGAATGTACCCCATTCAGCAAGCCTTAAAGTAATAAAACAGGTTGGTTTTGACCTTGGTTTGGCCTTCGTCAGACGTAACCCTAGGTCAATGCAATTTGTTCATTTAATTGTTGCGTTGCCTAAGAAGGCATCTCAGAGATATATGACTTTGTCGAACACTCTGTTGTTGCATCAAATTGGACCATTCCCTAGAAATTGCCTTCGCTGAAGCCATGGCCTGACTTTGACCTGCCATAGATTAGCGACCTTCCAACGTAAATTTAATTTATCGCTGCCAGACAATCCACCATTCAATTGTCTACAGTTATGCAAAATTTGGCGCAGTTACGCCGCGCCGTTCGGAAAGTATTCCGGGAAAGCCTACAGGCAGAGGGTCAATTTGACCCCCACCCGAGCGGGTATAAGCAAATTCCTACTGGAAATGGCTTTAAAACTCCTGGATGTTGTCATTCGCATTTCTGAGCATTTTCAGTACCAATGATCGGACACTTGCAAATTTAACTCCCAAGATGAACCGAACAGCTAGTATTTGAGCTTCAACTATCACAAATGCTGAAATTTCATCAATAGCTAATGGATAAGCCTACATAGTACTCTTATTGCAGCCGAGCAGATGCTGATAAATTACCCCGATCGATATCATGACCGTAGCACCGGAAATGAGCACCCGGTTCTGATGGCTTCGGAACGGAAACCATATACGCATACCTGTGCCAGATGCACGCTACGCGGGGCTTTCCATACTTTATGATGAATGCATTAATAATGGCAGCGGATAATGTGGTGCAGTATTTCATAACGCCAGCACCATGCTATGTGGCCAGCTGACCTGACCACCTGCCTGGAGGAGCGGGCAAAGGTCAGGGCGGTGTGCGCTGCGTATGCGCCGCGAACTGACCGGCTCCAGTTGCAGGCGCTGAACTGATGAGCCACTCTGAACCTCAGACTGAGCCCTGGTGCCGGCCGGGCCGGCTGTCTGAGACTTCACCAGCGCCCACGTGCCCATCACCAGCAGCGGCACCCCTGTCGAGGGGCCGGACAAATGTCACGATCGTAAGGCGCGGGTGCATCCATCCCCAAACAAACCAGCAGCGGCACCCCTGTCGAGGGGCCAGACAAATGTCACGATCGTAAGGCGCGGGTGTAGCCATCCCCAGACAAACCAGCAGCGGCACCCTGTCAAGAGGCCGGACAAATGTCACGATCGTAAGGCGCGGGTGTAGCCATTCCCACACAGACCTGCAGCGGCACCCCTGTCGAGGGGCCGGACAAATGTCACGATCGTAAGGCGTGGGTGTAGCCATCCCCAGACAGACCTGCACCGGCACCCCTGTCAAGAGGCCGGACAAATGTCACGATCGTAAGGTGCGGGTGTAGCCATTCACAGACAGACCTGCAAGTAACCTCCGAAAACAGCTCCGCGCGCCACCAGTGCCGGCTCCGCGCGCAACCATTCTAGGCTTCACACGTCACCATTCCAAGTTTCACACGTCTCCATTCTAAGCTTCACACGTCGCCATTCCAAGTTTCACACGTCACCATTCCAAACTTCACACGCCACCATTCCAGGTTTCACACGTCTCAATTCTAAGCTTCACACGTCGCCATTCCATACTTCGCACGCTACCAGTGCCAGCTCCCTACGCCCCAAACACCAAACACCCCGCGGGCCGATGGTATGCCGCTGAAGAGCCTGGTCAGTGCCGGGCTAACACAAAAATAAATTTGTTCCAGTACAGATTTTAAAAAAGCAATCATTTGTCTGTTCGTTGCATTGGGTCTTCTGACCGTAGAAGAGTCTCGTGTTCTTAATTTCGTTGCCGAGTTGAATTGCATTGACATTAAGCTGAGTCTAACTAATCTTTCCATATTTTGAGTAGAATCTACACTTTGATAATTACGAGGCTACATAAACACTGTACAGGTGTATGATGACAACAGACAATATTTGATATGATGACAATACAGGTGTCTTTGACAATAATTGACAGTAATACAAAACATTCACAAAAATAGCAATGCATTCACTGCCCGCTGCGATGCGGAGCTCAAGAGGAGTGGGCAAGAGAAGACAACAATGGCTTACCCCAACCAACTAGCATGTACAGACGACATCGGATCTTGTCCGCGGAGAACGTCCGAACCACCAACATGTACAGGTAGTGGCCTGCAAGAGTCGAATGTCAGCCACGGATTTACCTCACGGCGTACGTGGTATTACGGCATTGATTTACCTCACGCTAGACGGGACCAGCTGCTGATAGTCTTGTCGACGTGCTTGATTAGCCGGTGTGTGTACTATTCCCAAGTTATTAGCTCCGACATTGACCGGGTTATCTAGCTGCCGGGGGTCACCTTGGGCATTTTTTTGCCTCTCCATATTTCTGTAGCCAATATAAGGATTTCGTCTATCCGAAGCGCAATCGATAGAACTGGATGTAGCAATCCACAAAACGCATTGTTTGCTGACATTGATGTCAACCGTAGAGGCACAGTTGATACCAAGTGGAAAATAAGTCGAAAGCTTTCAGACAACAGTGTGAGTTATGGGCACAAACCAGTGTAACAAACTTGTGTAAACGTAACTACGATCACTCGCTGTGATATAGCGGTGAACACCAATGTGAAAATAGACCTATGTCACTGGAACCTGATGCTGGAACGAGATTAAACGGTGTCATGTATCAACGTCCTGTGTTGCATGAGGTCGAGGGGTTGAATCCAAATCGGCAAAAACGCCTGTCCGAAATTAGCGGATTCAATCTCGTTTCGTACCGGGATAGAGAAGCATAGCTGTACGCAGGTTTATCTATTAGTCAACACTGCCCGTACGCACATGCCTCTTGAGAGCCAGCATTGCCCTCAGTAAGCAATCATTGTGGACTCCTACGTCAACCTGTTCGCCGTTGTTCCCTTCCACGTCAAATACCAACAAGGGGCAGAAGCGTTTGCAAATGCGCAGGTTCTCAACATTTATCTACGTACCAAACAGTCATCGAAACGTCAGCTCCGTGCACCCAAATTGTTCTCAGGCTCCCGAATTTCTTTTGCTCCTTCTTGGAGCTATCCGGTATGAATAAGGCAATTACCTGGCGACCTACGTGCGCGCGGTCAAGAGCTACGTACATCATCCGTGCCTGCTAGTGTGGCGCTCACTGACCTTCGACAAACATCCAGAAGAAAGTCGTCACGTGACAATAATGCAGCAGAACGACAATGACGCAGGACACGAACGCGTACTGCGTCAGGAACAGCTGGAACAGAGCGCCATCAGGCAGGTCAGTTAGACGTGGTGCCGACCACGACGACAATGTGACAGTGCAGCAGTGCGGCCGCGTCCCGTCAACCGCTCTGGAAAAAGGTATTCATTTTACGAGATATTTAAATGACGAGGACACCTGCGCTGTGACGCCTTTTGCTGACAGTAGTGGGGACATCAAAACACGGTTGGCCGTTTTTTTAACCCAGATACTCGCGCGTGTAGTCAGGCAGACTATCAGTTTCACTCAAACATTCTAGCCCTGCGTTACGATAACCCTACCTGATAGTCAATATCTGAGAGGGAGCAGACTTAAAGCCTCGCAGAAACACCTTGCCACCGGTGAATATTGCTTGCACTACCGTTCTCGTCTCGCGGGCTAGTGTGTGCACAGCATTTCGGCCAGTTAACAATTCAGCCGTCTTCAGGTGTTATGAAGCTCTGAGAGGGAGTAATAACTCCATAACTCCTTGGAATTGTTATGAGTTGAACCTGGGCTTTCTCAGCGCTAGCCCAGCATTCTGCCACTGAGCTAAGCAGGGATGTCCCTCCCCGTTGGTCATGTGCCGTGCATGTGGCTGTGTCAGCAGCCGTCGTGATAATACAGGAACCATGACACGCGACCGCGCTGCGGGTTTGACACAGCCTAGCTCCCAGCGACTACTCACCTCGAGAGATAATGAAATGATCCAGAGCGAATCAGTCAGAATATAGGTAATGAACAGGTTGGCGTGGATCGTGTTCCGCAGACACCGTAGGTCCCTGGAAAATACATTAGCGCTATGAAAGGCATCACGTTGGCGACAGAAGCAATCAGTCAAAAATGAATTATTGTCAGAACACCACAACAGCACGGAAAATTGAAACCTTGCCCGCGAGCCACTCACGTAACTTGCGTATTACAAGTGACCACGTCTCCGGTATTTCCGAAGTTTGAACAATTTTTCGCCTCGGCCAATCCTAGTATTCAGTTCTATCACGCCGATCACGTACTTGCAGTAGGAAAATATCCAGGTGGCTATCGAGAGCGTGATGAGACTCAACGAGTAGCCGGCCAGGTAGATCAGCGATGTGAACTCAGACTGCTGGTAACTGTCCGCCTCGTTGAAGACCTTCTGGTTGTACGCCTTGATACAGTCGGAGTAGTTGGCCCGCTCTTCCCAGGTCCCGTTTTCGTGACAGTAACGGCTGGCGTTGGCTGGAAAAGAAGACCGCGTTATGGCTAACACGCACTGCCCACATGGAAATGGCAGCAGAACGCGGCGGGGCGTCACTGCACCGCATGGAAGCGATCATAATTTAGCAGTGTGAGCTTGCGTACATGTGCTGTAATCGGCTAGGAGCAGCAGCAAATAGCGAGGAAATTACAGTAGCCATGTGAGTGCCATGGGAGTGCCACGTGAGTGCCATGAGAGCCAATTACAGAGTGGGTAGACAGCTTTTTTGCTGTGCGTAGTCCTCGGCAAGAGGTTATCCTTATCGTTGAGACGTCCGCAGCCGCACGTACCCATTCCATCGTTGCCGAGCTTCCTGCGATCGATTCACGTGAAAAACGAAGCGGTCGGCCGCAGTGGTGTTTCTTACTAGAAGCTGTTTCCAATGTGTTGATGACCTGACTTCTGAATCAAGGTCTTTGCTGGGATTAGCTTATTACGAAGAGTATGGCCTATCATTCCGATAAGGAAAGACGAAGACAACAAAAAAGTCTTGCTGACGATTTTAACGCGCCACACAATGTCGTGACGCAGTCGCCTCCGTTTTAACTTATCTCTGTTTGCCAGACTTCTGTCTTTTTTGTGACAGCCCTTATGTCTTACACGCCTTGATCGGAGAAATATGACGTCAAGCGGAGCATGGAAGCGTTTTTTTTGTGACAGTCCTTATGTCTTACACGCCTTGATCGGGGAGATAAGACGTCATGCGGAGCATGGAAGCGTTTTTTTTGTGACAGCCCACATGTCTTACACGCCTTGATCGGGGAGATAAGACGTCACGCGGTGCATGGAAGCGTTTGCCATTTTTGCATTATGAATTATGGCATTAGTCGGATTTCAGTTCTGACGACTGACTAACGGTTGAATGCCAAGAAACGGAACTTAAGTTAAAACTTATGAGAAAACATCTGAAAACCTGGTACAGCAGTGATCGTCGGCACAAACACACAAAAAGGGAAGAAAACTTTCAGTTGAAGAATCCAACAGCAATAAAATCGAACTACATGAAATCCTTTAGGGTCGCCGGGGAAGGACGAGGAAGACCTGATGATGATCTAAGACTCGCGCTGCCGATGCGATGTACGAATCGCTGTCGTGCCATGATTTACCAGCGGTCTGTATGGACCAAGTCAAGGTCTTACTGTGCGGAAAGGTAGCACGTTCCATTACATCGCAGATGGGACAGGGAACAGAATACAAATTAAGAACGACGATCGTCAGAGTACGGAGCGAAGTGAGCCAAGCTGGTGCTCAAGTCGTGATTGACATGAACTGAACGAGCTTGTATAATGACTATGTTCAAGCAAGCCATCGTTTAGTCTCGAATTAACCAATTCACAAAAAACATCATTCCAATTGTTATCTGGTTAATCATATGTGGCTGTCCAACTGTATGAAGCAAATGTCGACCTTCCATTTCAACAGGTAAGTGGGACCCGTAAGTCAAGATTGGCAACATTGCGCACTGGAATACTTGTGAAGGCTAATCACAAACAGAGCCATGGTTAATCGACAGATGATAATGAACAATATCTGCCTTTATTAGCCGCGTCTTTGGTGCAAAAAAACCTGGCAACCATCTAATTTTAGCGGGCAGAGTGTTTTATGTTGTACCAGACAGCACATGCCCAACGGGTCTCCATTTAACGCATAATGTGAGGGGTGCGCTGGAACCAAATCCAATTATGCAGGTAGATAGATGACCAGAGGCCATGGTTGCTCTCTAGAGGCATTTGTTTAGAGAGCATTACCACGATAATGGTCTAAAGAATAGTGAATTGTCTACATATAATAGAATGTCAGACATGTTACAGCTACAGATGCATATACCATCCCAGTAAGCATTTCAGTGGACGTTAAGTCTTCCCATCCCGGCACCATAACGCTCGGCGCGTTTGGGGCTGATTGGATTCGGATTATATTAGCCTTGGGGGGAGCTATTGAATTTAGATCTGATCTGAAGCTGTCCGGCAGGACACGGTCTGGATCGGATCAAATAAAACGCAACCGTTTCGTGTGCTGATAATCGCATAGCGTAGGCACCGAGACCATCAACAGCATACGCTATCCTGCGTTCAAATCACGTGGGAAAGCCCTGCAACGCTCACCACTCCTGCGCCAGCTGGGACAATGGGACGGGTCGACAGCCGCGTGAAGACGAGGACGGAAGCGGCATTGTCAGTTCCCCCGCCACGCCGGGACCGACCCTGCGCCTTGCCTCCGTTGTTTGGGCTCCCCAGCCCGTATCCCGGGACTGGTTGGAATACCAATTAGGGGCGTGCCAGGAAATCCAGTTGGGAAGCGTTCACTGCATCGCCTATTTCACGGCTCACTGGGCTCACGGCCCATGCATCTAGATGCCGCCGTCATCATGACCGATTTGGCCCCAAGCGTCGCGACCTAGGATACCAGCTTCTTGGCACCACATGAGCCTGCCACAACGATGGATGTCCTGTCTATACAAAGTTGTTGGAAACTAGCCGCGCCCGTAGCGTAAGGACTGGACGTCGGCAGCTGGACGTAGGTCATCAGCTGGACTATTTGGCACTGCAGCTCCCTATGCAGACCCAGCCGCCGCCCGTGCAGCGCTCCGACCACGGACATCAACCGTAAGGCGAGCGTTCATCCTTGCTGCCGATTTGTGCTTGCTTTCAGACAACTTCAGCCAACTTTGGCACACTGGACATAAAATCCGCTCATTTTTACAATTCTGTCATGTCGCGTTCCAGGCGTCAAACGATGTCTAGGATATACTCTAGATGGCCGATGTCAAACTCCGCTGCGATTAATAATAGAAAGTCTATCAAAGAAAGCACACATAACAGAGAAGGCAAGACAATGCTGATCGTTCCAGCGGCCATAACGCGTCATAACAGCATCTGCCCTCTTCAGTAAAACGTTCTGTGCTTCAGAGGCCCCCAGAGCGGTCCCATTTGCCAGCTTAGTGACATCAGCATTTCTCTTGGTGTTTCTCCCGCTGGCAGTGGCCGGTATGCTGCCCATGACACGGGTGTGCAGCTGATCCCGTCGCTAGCGCAGTTCCGGCTGCTTTATTTCACCAGAGTCTCACACACCGTTTCAGCGTCATCACTGACAAACGTATATAGCGTACAAATATGCATATAATAGTATATATATATATATATATATATATATATATATATATAATCTTGACACCTGTGACGTCGCACTAACGTTAAGCGAAGACGAAGTGGGAGCCACCGGACGGTTTACCTCTTTTGTGTGGCCTTGGTTTGTACATCGCCGCGGAGGTAGCGGTTTACCTCTCTTATGTGGTTTTGGTTTGTACATCGCCACGGAGGTAGACATCCGCTGAACATGCGGCGGTCATTACACTGGTCTGGTTTGGCGCAGTGTCTGCGTGGGATAAGCTGAAACCCATCCCGGTACTGCCAGCAGCGCAGCCGCCTCAGCTGTTGGCGATCGGGCGCCCCGTGTGGCGGGAGGAGGCGGACACCTCGAAGCGTGCTTGGCCCTCATGGGTTCATATCACCTGTCGGAACTAGCGTGGAAGAGCTGCGGGCTGTCAGTGTGGTGGCGGCCCTGACGGTCGCTGCCAGATCCCCCAGGGTGGTTCGACTGCGCATATCTTGGCGGGGCGTAAAGCAACAACAGCAGGCCATATATCTTGGAACATGTCATCAACAACGAACTTCCAGGTGATGGCGATATTTATCGGGAACAAATACGGCTATATGTCCGAAGCAACACGCTCATTCGTAGGTTTAGTGCTTGCTCTGTAGCTACCACAGCCGGACTTTTAAGAGCCTTGTACTAAAACACATACTTTTTATGGTCATGGATTTTGCAAAAGGTGCAATGCAAAAACTTATTATGAGCAATCACAATGTATTCAACCTGTTTATTGGTGATTCTCAACTCGGGAGTATGCGTAAATATTCTCTTTTTATTCTGTGCCTGCCTGTATTGCTCAAATTTGAAAAATGCCTTATAGTTTTTTAAGCCACCTTCTTTTTTCAAACAATGATGCGTAAGCGTTCTTCAACATTTCAGTTTACCATGCATCTTTTATATCGTTTTTTTAAATGTCATTATATGCAGTATGCCTGATTTTCTCCGGAACGGCCAAACTCACGTGCAAAACAGGTCAATGGAGGATTTTGATACTGGCAGAATCGCTCAGTGAAGATAAGACCGGCATTCGACACGGCACGTGAATATACATGAAAATGTAAAGACCATGCGCGAAAATTCCGCGTGAAATTTGAAATGCGCGTGTAGTGTGGCTTAGAGGCTCACATTGATTGAAGCAATAATGCCTTCTGAATGTGGTGCGTATCCATATGCATATAACCATCCCCGCTTATGCAATGCGCAAATAACATTTACAACGGTATTAGTGTGTCTCTCTCAGACTTACTCAATAGCACGCTGTTGTTAAAAATAACGATTTAATATGAGGGATAAACAACAGCAATATAACGCCTATTACCGATAATATTCCGCGAAAAACACCTGACAAGAAAAAGTTACCGATCCCAAATGTAGCCAATACCAAATACAAAACCAGCATGGTCTCAGTAGCTTTCGCCTCAGACACGGATCCATGGCAACCGAGGCGCTCGGTGTTGGAATGGACGGCCTGGAAAAATATATGGTATGTTTCTGCTACGTATCTTACAAAAGATAATATTACATTTGTTAGTTGAGCTGGACGTTTTAAATGACAAGAAAACTGAATGATGGGCGGATGTTACGCCTGTCGAAGTGTATTTTCCACCCAACGGTTTTCCAATCGTTTTTTTCTGATATTTTCCACATCCATCGCTCGCAGCTGTGCATCACCGTCAAATGCGCCAATAAATCGTCCCTGCGTGTGACGTTAGATTCTGGGCCGGCGTTTTCGAAGTTTAAAAGATGGTCAACGAAGAAATTGGCTCTCAGACGCCGGCTGCTCAAATTGTCCTCTTCACTGCCGTCTGCTGACGTCGCTATGGGCCGG